CTGAATAATAGAAATACTGCACCAAAGTAACTCAACTGTTTTATTTCACTTCTTGATACCTGCGTGTTCCATCAATACTCTTTTGGCCAATGATAAGGAAAGACTGAAAGGAAAAGGAATTACGGGTTTTACCCTATCTTTCCTTTTTTCCTATCATTATTTCAGCATAAGTGGTTGGCTAATACAGAGCAGTAACAAAAGTAAGAAAGGGTGTGATAGGGTTCCTTGCTTGCTTGTGTTTCATAGAATGCCCTTGCCTTCTTTCTGTGTTGGAAGCCAAGTTCTGATTTGAACAGAAAGCGTGACCTCTAGGGACTCTCTGTGTCCCTGCTTACCTTGTTGCAGATGTATGCTGCTTACTTTATCCTAGTTCAGAGTCTCATTGAACTCCCTCACGTCGTGGATCCAAAGGAATCCTGTACTCATAGGGCATTTCAAACACTATATGCAAACTGGGTAGCAAGAAATAGCAAACACGCTGCACACATCTCCTCTGCTCGAATGCATGATCCAGTGTTCCATCAGACATCACTTACGAAACACAAGTTCAAAGACAAAGTTTTTAAGAATTTCAAGACAGTGATGGCAGAGCATTAACCTAAGCTCAGGGCCTGGTGAGAGCAGACAAGTGCACTGGCCACTTGCCCACCTGCCATGTATGTTTGGACCAAACATCTTCAATTCCCTGCTAGTTGAGAAGAGACTGCTCATTGCCACCTAAGATCTTTTCTCTCCTACATCCTTGGTAACAGAACTCCAATATTATTTGGGGTGGTAAGGTGCTTAGCTAAAAATTATGTTTCCTAGCATTTTCTGCAGTTACTCTGAACTCTCAGTTACTCAGAGTAGCCATGTGAATGAGTTTTGTTTAATCAGATGCATGTGGAAAGAAGGGAATAAAGAAAGAAAAGAAGAAAGAAAGGGTGGGGGTACGTAGGGAGGGAGGGAGGAAGGAAGGAGGAAGGAAGGAAGGAAGGAAGGAAGGAAGGAAGGAAGGAAGGAAGGAAGGAAGGAAGGAAGGAAGGAAGGAAGGAAGGAAGGAAACCCTCAGTTTGTTATTGGGTAGCGTTTTTAGAAGTTCTAAAAAGTGAGTGGTTTGAGTGGCAACTGTTTCTAGGATTCAGGGGCACTCTTCCTCTTTCCTCCCAGTTCAGGACTGTGTTTTGGAGCTCTGAGGTTGCTGGTAGACTTCAGATAAATGCAGTGTTATAATGCAGTATGTTATAATGATATAAGGATCATATAATAAAACAAGTGTAGCATATAGTGTTTTTTTCTAGCATATAGTGGATTTTCTAAGAAATTTAAAAACCAATATCTTGTGATAAGCATGGTAAAGAAAATCATTAAAACCCTTGTGAATAATTACCAGACTACCTACAGGAAAGAGATGTCAACCATTACTCTGCCAACTATGAATAGGTCGTTTTGTAAGAGTAAAGCGATGAAGTCGACAAATACTGCCACCTAGTGTTAAAAATCAAAACTACCATTTCTTAACTGTGGAAACTGAAAGGTTGGGTTTGAGTTAGGTGGGTTTTTTCTCAGACTGATTAGTACTGGCTATGCTAACTGTCTTGTCCATTTGTGAACCACTAGACAACGTTTGCCAGGAGTTCCCTGGAGGTAACTGGGATGGTAGTTGGAATGTAATCATTAACTAAGCTAATGTATGGAATGTGTTCCATTTTCCATTTTTCCAGTCTAAGTGCTGTCCTGGCTAAGCAGCACAGGGATGGTCTTTGAACTCAGAAGGGGTTAAAACAGAAGGGAATCTAGACTGAGGATAGTGGAGGAAAGCAATGGAAATTCAGTGTTCTGACATCTTCTCAGATGTCCTTCCAGCTGATCCTCAGGTTGGACCTCAGGCCTATTTTCTCGCCTCCTAACTTGTTCCTTCTGCCCTTTTTCAACCCCATTTGCTCCATCATGACCCTTTAAAGGCTTGTCCTCTCTCTCATTCCCTTTCTAATATCCCTGTCACATCACTTTGAATCAGTGCTCTTTTGTGAGAAGAAAGGTAGAGAAAGGGGTGGTTTGGATCTAGAGTCCCCCATTTATCTTAGTATTTATATTCAGCAAGTCATTAAAATTTTCTAAGTCTCAAGTTATCCATATTTGTAGGGGGTTCAAATATGTGCTTTACAGAGTGGTTGAAAAGTTTAAATGGGGAAATGTGTTGTGAGAGAAACTGGCATATGGTTGAGTCAGGAAATTTTATTTTCTTTCCCTTCTCTCATTCTCCTGTCGTCCTTATATCACTGTTAGGGAAAAATTAGTAAAAAAGAAAACTTGGCTATTGATATGAGATATCAGGCATAAATAATCTTCCAAGCTTGATTTTCAAGACATGATTACAGGCAATTTTTATTGTGTTTCTGTTTTTTTCACCTGGATGTTTTCTGAGAAAGTGAAGCTCATTAGATGTGGTTGCATTGTGGAAAGAAAAAACATCCACTGTTCCACTTACTCACCTGTATTTGAGACAAGTCACTGTTGCTTCTCTGAGGCTAAGTTCTTCATCCATGAAATAAAGACAACGTCTTTTTCATGCCTACTTACTCTGCGCTTATGAGGACACATGAGGTAAAATAGCTGAAAGGATTTTGTAAAGTTTAAAGTAAATACTAATGTAATAATTATTATATTTTCTTTGCTCCATGTTGTACCCATAGTGGACATTCAATAAAGATTAAAAAAAACACATTAACCTCCATCAGTGGATGAATGGATAAAGATGTGGTACATATACACAATGGAATACTATTCACCATAGGAAAGAAACAAATCCTACCATTTGCAACAGCATGGAAGGAGCTGGAGGATATGATGCTTAGTGAAATAACCCAGGAGGAGAAAGACAAGTGCCAAATGATTTCCCTCATTTGTGGAGTATAACAATGAAGCAAAACTGCAGGAATAAAATAGTAGCCGACTCACAGACTCCAAGAAAGGATTAGTGGTTACCAAAGGGAAGGGGTGTGGGAGGGTGGGTGGGAGAGAGGGAGAAGGGGATTGAGGGGTATTATGTTTAGTACACATGGTGTGGGGGGTCACGGGGAGAACAGTTTAGCACATAGAAAGCAAATAGTGAATCTGTGGCATCTAATTATACTGATGGATAATGACTGCAATGGGGTATGGGTGGGGACTTGATGATATGGGTAAATGTAGTAACCACACTGTTTTTTCATGTGAAAACTTCATAAGAGTGTATGATATTAAGGTATCAATAATACCTTAATAAAAAAAGACATTAATCATGAATTTTACCTAATTAATTCATCCAAGAGTTACTGAGTGACTATTAAGTTCCAGACGCTATATTTAGCATGTATTGTGTAAAAAGCACTTTGCTAGGCTTTGGTGGGGCTACGAAAATGATTAAGGTCCTTCCTAGAGTTGGTTGGGCAAAGACGGGATAATAGAGCACTACAGAGTAAAATTAGTACCAAGTTGGGGAATGTGTGCTTACTAAGGGCATCATTTGTTGCAGGAGCCCAGAAAGAGGAGCAAGTGATGTTGTGGAGTTCAGGAAAGGCTTCACCAAGAAAAGGCATTTGACATATATATTTTTGTAAACAGAAATGGGGAAAAGGAAATTCCAGGTAGAAGGTGCGTTATGAACAAAGGCATGCATTTAGCAAAAAGCAGGTAGGACAGGGCAAGTTGTGGCATGGAGTCTCTTCATAGCCATAAGGAATAGACCTGAACGCTATTTGTGTAGCTGAAACGTTTTTTTAAAAACTCTATATCTAAAATAATTTGTATGCTTTGTTTTAAAAGCATGTTTGGATTATATTGTTCTTAGTTGTCAGGAGAAAGCTTGAGTTGTTTAATCAAGAATCATCTTTTGAAAAGATTATTTTCAGAGAAATGCTCAAATAAAGTAACCCTATACTTAAATGTTAGTGTTAATCTGGACAAATGAATTTGTCCATCCACTCACTCTACAAACACTTACTAAATACTTTGTATTTGAGAGAATGCCAATGATTTTTTTCATGTTTAATGTGTTAACTCTACATTCAATATTAGAAATAATAATTACAGGACTCTTCCTTTATTTGGAAAACTTATGTTTCACAGTACTCTATAAGTCTCTTATGATACTTAATCTTTAAGCTTTTTGACCTGAAATTAGTCTGATTCCTCCTTTTTCTAACAGGATGGGAAAGTGTTCGCATTTGGAGACAATAGCTGTTGACAGTTGGGATACAGCCCCAGTGCTAAGAAGTGAGGTCCACGACTCGTGGAAAGAGTTGATGGCCTAGTTTAACAGATAGATTGTGGAAAGTAATAGGCTTTTTTTTCTTTAGTGTGAATAGAAAGTGTTATATTTTATTACTTAGAACTTATTCACACATAATGTTACTATCACATGTTAAAATTCTAAAATATGTGACTATTCTTTTTGTAGATCATTTTCCTTCCTGAAAATTTACTTCTTTTAAATATGGTTTAATTTTTCCATTTTTTCTTCTTTGTGCTAGACATTTCATTTATTCAACAAGAATTTGTTCTAAGTGTACTGTGTATGGGTTACCTTACCAGGTGCTACAGGGAGCAGTGAGCTTATAACAAAAGTAGTGTTACTTTCCTATTTAGGTTGGTAAGACAAAATTAAAGTGATCTCATGCAAGCATGATGTATATTTGCATATGTAGTCAAAGTTTGGCCTAACCTAATTATGAGGACACTCTGAATATTATCTGCCCAATTCATAAACAAAAACAAAAAATCTTACATTTAAAACACAAATTATAGAAACCATAGTAAAGACTCATCAATAATATTCTATCTTTAAGGGTAGTAATAAGTTAATATTCACCTACCATTTGTTTAGCCACATCATTCAGTACCCTGTAACCCTAACATTGTGATAAGGGATCTGGGTACTTAATATAAGATTAATCTTTTATTTTGTGTTAAGACATCATCTTTCTCAAAAAGTGTGAATATATTGCATGATACCTTATAATGTATTCTCTCTCCTGCAGTTATCATACCCTGGCATATATGTCTCCACCACTGGGCGGGTGGTGCCTTCTGGTCTCAGAACAAGTTGTACAAGAAGCCCAGCTCCTCCAGAGGCTCTTCCAGAGAACCTTGACATTAGCTGCCTGATTTCTGCTGATGGTATGAGCAGTCCCACTAATTCATGATTTTGTGTTAACCAGTGACACTGGAGGAGAAATGCTATTTCAGTTTCCTTTCAAAGAAGTGCTTAGACCTGTGGTTCTTTTAGTACTGTTATTTTTAATTTCAATAATACACATTTTTCTTATGCGTGATTCCTAGAGTATTTGGTACTCTTTTCTAAAGATTAAGGTAATACTAAAGAAGATCCCAATTTGGTTATTTAAGCATCAGAATGATATACTTTTATATATTTAATTAAACCTCTTCTAAAGCATGTCAGCCTGGTTTTATTATGCAGGTGTATGGAAAATTAAATATTAAGCTAACTAAATATACAACATATAATCTGATCACATCTTTTAGGTTGTTTATAGTCAAAATCATTTAGAAGAATATAAATTGCCAATAAATAAGTAAACTTTGCTTGGTAATACATCAGGATTTTTAAAGAATTTTTGTAGAGCAGTTTTAGGTGCTTTTACTTCTAAAAGCAATAAGCATGCATTTATGACTTTCCTTTAGATCTGTGGATGTTCAAGTCAAACACATTTTTGCTGGAACATAAGCCAACTTTGTGACAACTTGTCAGCAGGTATCTATCACACTTTCTGCTTCTTTTAAAAATCATTCTTTTCTCTAGATTTCAAAGCAGTATTTGAAATAGGGTATCATTTCTATGCATTCAAATGCTTTGCTAAAATAATAAGATGTTTAAATGCCTTTTTAAAAATACTACATAATTTTCACTTCCTCACTTAGCTGCCTAACAGAGGAGAACCCCAAACCCAAATTCATTGCTTTTACCCTTATTTTTTATTTTATAATAACATTAATGATGATAATAACAGTAATGATTAATATTAGCTGTAGTAACCATGACTCAGAGACCAAAGTACTCCAAATGAATCAACACATTTAATTGTCATATTAATTCCAACTGGTATTTTTTCTCCCATTTTACAAATGAAAAAACTGAGTCTCAGAGAGGTGGGATCACCCAAAGTTGCACTGCTAAGAAGTGGCAGAGATGGATTCAAACCCCAGCAATCTAGCTCCAAAACTTGCACCATGCTACAGTGCCCCCTGATTGTTAGCAGAGAAGATTTTATTATTATCTTTTGGGGTGAGTTCTAAAATATTTGTATGGAGACAAAAGTATACATAGTTATTTTCTAATTTGTATTTTTCTCTTATCAGGAATGTTTTAAACTTGACATCCATATAGACTCTTACTGTATTCCCTAGGACAGAAAATAGAGGCAAAGGTTTCTGTGCCTCTGGGCACTGAGGAGTTCGTATTTGGTCACCCTGTTACAACGTTCAGTCAGCCCAGCTAGTGATTGCCTCCTGTATCCCAGGCTTTGCTCTTGTGCCTGGGATAAAAATGAATAATTCCCTCTTTCATCGCATTTGGATTCTGCAGGGAAGGACAGACAATAAATGTTGAAATGTAAAATAAGATTATGTTAGAGAGTGACAAGTGCTCTGAAGAGAATAAAATGGTCCCATTTGGGACTGATGAGCTGGGCTTCTTCAGAAATGTTAGTTGGGAAGACCTCTTAGAGGCTGTGACATTTGAGCACAGACCTTGGCCCTGCTTGGGCCCAGAGAAAGAGTATTATAGGTAGAGAGAACCACACCCAGAATGGCCATGGGGCAAGAATAAGGTTAGCACGTGTAAGGGACAGAAAAAAGGCCAGGCAGGCAAAGCACAGCAGGAAAGGGTGAAGAGTTATGTGAAACGGAGGCAGCTATATGAGATGGCATCAGTTAGGTGAGATGGGGTCAGTAAGAGGAGAAAGTGATTCTAGAAAGAAGAAGCGGCCAATCCTGTCACACACTGCTGGGAGGTCAATAAGATGAGCACAGAGTTTATTTTTGCTTTGTTAAGAGTCACCTCAGAGGAGACAGGCTGAACCCTGCATATGTGGGGCAGTCAGAGCACAGGAGTGGAGCAGGTGGAGGCAATGACTGCGACAGTCCTGTTTTTCTGTGAAGGAAAGCACAAAACCACGGCAGGGCTTTGTTGTTGTCTAGAGAGGTGATATTTAGGTGTGCTTGCACACCAGCAAGAGCGATCCGGAGCAGGTGGGGAAAGTGAGGATGCATGAGATAGACTGAATCACTGCAGAAGCAATGTTGCAGAACAGGAGAGCGAAAACAGGATCCAGTGTAGAATTTCGGGATTTGAGCAGAAATATTTATCCCATTCTAATGAAGAACAGTGGAGGTAAGGGCAGGTCAGGGGTGGGGGAGTGATTAGTTCTTGCCTGATTGCTTCCATTTTCTCAGGGATGCACAAGATCCTCATTTGAGAGTCAGTGAAAAGAAGGAGGAGTTTTTAGTACTGTTATTTTTAATTTCAATAATACACATTTTTCTTATGCGTGATTCCTAGAGTATTTGGTACTCTTTTCTAAAGATTAAGGTAATACTAAAGAAGATCCCAATTTGGTTATTTAAGCATCAGAATGATATACTTTTATATATTTAATTAAACCTCTTCTAAAGCATGTCAGCCTGGTTTTATTATGCAGGTGTATGGAAAATTAAATATTAAGCTAACTAAATATACAACATATAATCTGATCACATCTTTTAGGTTGTTTATAGTCAAAATCATTTAGAAGAATATAAATTGCCAATAAATAAGTAAACTTTGCTTGGTAATACATCAGGATTTTTAAAGAATTTTTGTAGAGCAGTTTTAGGTGCTTTTACTTCTAAAAGCAATAAGCATGCATTTATGACTTTCCTTTAGATCTGTGGATGTTCAAGTCAAACACATTTTTGCTGGAACATAAGCCAACTTTGTGACAACTTGTCAGCAGGTATCTATCACACTTTCTGCTTCTTTTAAAAATCATTCTTTTCTCTAGATTTCAAAGCAGTATTTGAAATAGGGTATCATTTCTATGCATTCAAATGCTTTGCTAAAATAATAAGATGTTTAAATGCCTTTTTAAAAATACTACATAATTTTCACTTCCTCACTTAGCTGCCTAACAGAGGAGAACCCCAAACCCAAATTCATTGCTTTTACCCTTATTTTTTATTTTATAATAACATTAATGATGATAATAACAGTAATGATTAATATTAGCTGTAGTAACCATGACTCAGAGACCAAAGTACTCCAAATGAATCAACACATTTAATTGTCATATTAATTCCAACTGGTATTTTTTCTCCCATTTTACAAATGAAAAAACTGAGTCTCAGAGAGGTGGGATCACCCAAAGTTGCACTGCTAAGAAGTGGCAGAGATGGATTCAAACCCCAGCAATCTAGCTCCAAAACTTGCACCATGCTACAGTGCCCCCTGATTGTTAGCAGAGAAGATTTTATTATTATCTTTTGGGGTGAGTTCTAAAATATTTGTATGGAGACAAAAGTATACATAGTTATTTTCTAATTTGTATTTTTCTCTTATCAGGAATGTTTTAAACTTGACATCCATATAGACTCTTACTGTATTCCCTAGGACAGAAAATAGAGGCAAAGGTTTCTGTGCCTCTGGGCACTGAGGAGTTCGTATTTGGTCACCCTGTTACAACGTTCAGTCAGCCCAGCTAGTGATTGCCTCCTGTATCCCAGGCTTTGCTCTTGTGCCTGGGATAAAAATGAATAATTCCCTCTTTCATCGCATTTGGATTCTGCAGGGAAGGACAGACAATAAATGTTGAAATGTAAAATAAGATTATGTTAGAGAGTGACAAGTGCTCTGAAGAGAATAAAATGGTCCCATTTGGGACTGATGAGCTGGGCTTCTTCAGAAATGTTAGTTGGGAAGACCTCTTAGAGGCTGTGACATTTGAGCACAGACCTTGGCCCTGCTTGGGCCCAGAGAAAGAGTATTATAGGTAGAGAGAACCACACCCAGAATGGCCATGGGGCAAGAATAAGGTTAGCACGTGTAAGGGACAGAAAAAAGGCCAGGCAGGCAAAGCACAGCAGGAAAGGGTGAAGAGTTATGTGAAACGGAGGCAGCTATATGAGATGGCATCAGTTAGGTGAGATGGGGTCAGTAAGAGGAGAAAGTGCTTCTAGAAAGAAGAAGCGGCCAATCCTGTCACACACTGCTGGGAGGTCAATAAGATGAGCACAGAGTTTATTTTTGCTTTGTTAAGAGTCACCTCAGAGGAGACAGGCTGAACCCTGCATATGTGGGGCAGTCAGAGCACAGGAGTGGAGCAGGTGGAGGCAATGACTGCGACAGTCCTGTTTTTCTGTGAAGGAAAGCACAAAACCACGGCAGGGCTTTGTTGTTGTCTAGAGAGGTGATATTTAGGTGTGCTTGCACACCAGCAAGAGCGATCCGGAGCAGGTGGGGAAAGTGAGGATGCATGAGATAGACTGAATCACTGCAGAAGCAATGTTGCAGAACAGGAGAGCGAAAACAGGATCCAGTGTAGAATTTCGGGATTTGAGCAGAAATATTTATCCCATTCTAATGAAGAACAGTGGAGGTAAGGGCAGGTCAGGGGTGGGGGAGTGATTAGTTCTTGCCTGATTGCTTCCATTTTCTCAGGGATGCACAAGATCCTCATTTGAGAGTCAGTGAAAAGAAGGAGGAGTGTTAGAGGTTTACGAATGAAGGGGAGGTGTGCAAGAGTTGTTCAGACAGTGAGAAAGCAAATGCTGTGGGAAATTACTAGACAGTATTGAGTGCCATTTGAAATTCGTGGTTGTAGACTTAGAGGGAAACCATCAGCCAGCAGTTACGTGGCTTTCTCCAGTGGTGTTTAGCTGCTTGGATTCAATTTGGTAGTAATCATAAGTTGTTTAACTACAGATAGATTTTTGCTAGGTACTATACGAAGGGATAGAAAAGTTAGAGGTATTTGAAAGGACTAATCATAGTGCTGACCATGGAATCTAAGCTGGGTAAGGAAGACACCGGCAGGGCGATGGATAATGAACAAATAATAGGATGCATGGGTTGGAGACCCTACTGGGCTCAGAGAATGCTGGGCTGAGTTTCACTCTAAAGTACCTTAGTCTTTAAGGCTGCTGTAACAAAACACCCAGACTGGGTGACTTACAAACAGGAGAAATTTATTTCTCACAGTTCTGGAGGCTGGGAAGTCTAGTATCAATATGCCAGAATAGTCAATGTTGGTGAGGGCCTGCTTCCTGGTTTCTGGAGGGCTTTCTTCTCGCTGTGTCCTTACATAGTGGAAGGGGCAGAAAGAGCCCTCTGGGATCTCCCATAAGGGTACTAGTCCCATTCCTGAGGTCTCCAATCACCTCCCCAAGATCCCACCTCCTAATACTGCCAACATTAGGGGTTAGGCCTTCACATATGAATTTTGGGAGAACACAATTCAGTCCATAACATTCTGTCCCTGTTCCTCACCCTCCAAAGTTCGTGCACTTCTTGCATGCAAAAACATTCATTCCATCCCAACAGACCTCAAAGTCTTAACTCATTCTAACATCCAAGAGTATTTAGAAGGTGGAACAATTATTGATGATTATAAAATACAGGGTATCACCTATATCTAGGCAGTGATTTTCAACTAGGGGTGCTTTTTGCCCCCCAGGAAACCTTTGGCAATGTCTGAAGACGTTTCAGATCGTTGTAACTGAAGAGAGGCATTTGTATTGGGGCGGCTGCTACTGCCGTCTAGTGAGCTGAGTCCAGGGTTGCGGCTAAACATCCTAGAGGGCACAAGACCATCCCTCACGTCAAGGAATTGTCTGACCCAAAATGTCAGTAGGGTCAATTTAGAAACCCTTATCCAGGGTGTGGGTGGCTGAGGTGGAGCAGAGAAAAAGAGTGAAGATGAGATAAAGAATTAAGAGATCAAGGTGGGAAATAAATTATGTCCATTAATTCTGAAGTTGCCAGAATGACAGAAAGATAAACAACCTGCATGGTGGTGCTGAGGAAGACAGGAGGGTGCTAAGGTTTTCAGTGACTGAAGGGTAGTGACTAGGATGTTGGGAGATGATTACAAAAGAAAGGGAGGCGATGATATAATCTGATGTCATGTACTTCAGAGAAGCCGTGTTTGTTTGTTTGTTTGTTTGTTTTGGTATCGTTAATGTACAATTACTTGGACAACATTATGGTTACTATACTCCCCTTATTATCAAGTCCCCCCCACATACCACATTACAGTCACTGTCCATCAGCATAGTAAGATGATATAGAATCAGTAGATACTTGTCTTCTCTGTATATCCTGCCTTTCCCGTATTCCCCCCACCCCCTACCGCTACATTATGTGCGCTAATCGTAATGCCCCTTTTTCCCCCTTATCCCTCCCTTTCCACCCATTCTCCCCAGTCCCTTTCCCTTTGGTAGCCGTTAGTCCATTCTTGGGTTCTGTGAGTCTGCTGCTGTTTTGTTCCTTCAGTTTTTTCTTTGTTCTTATACTTCACATGTAAGTGAAATCATTTGATATTTGTCTTTCTCCACCTGGCTTATTTCACTGACCATAATACCCTCTACCTCCATCCATGTTGTTGCAAATGGTAGGATTTGTTATCTTCTTATGGCTGAATAATATTCCATTGTGTATATGTACTACATCTTCTTTATCCACTCATCTACTGATGAACACTTAGGTTACTTCCATTTCTTGGCTATTGTAAATAGTGCTGCAATAAACAGGGGTGCATATGTCTTTTTCAAAATGGGCTCCTGCATTCTTAGCATAAATTCCTAGGAGTGAGATTCCTGGGTCAAATGGTATTTCTATTTTGAGCTTTTTGAGGAACCTCCATACTGCTTTCCACAATGGTTGAACTAGTTTACATTCCCACCAGCAGTATAGGAGGGTTCCCCTTTCTCCACATCCTTGCCAACATTTGTTGTTGTTTGTCTTTTGGATGGTGGCCATCCTAACTGGTGCGTGGTGATATCTCATTGTAGTTTTAATTTGCATTTCCCTGATGACTAGCGATGTGGAGTATCTTTTACGTTCCTGTTGGTCATCTGAATTTCTTCTTTGGAGAAGTGTCTTTTCAGCTCCTCTGCCCATTTTTTATTTGACTCATTTGCTTTTTGCTTGTTGAGGTGTGTGAGCTCTTTATATAATTTGGATGTCAACCCCTGATTGGATATGTCATTTAGGAATATATTCTCCCATACTGTAGGATGCCTTTTTGTTCTACTGATACTGTCCTTTGCTGTACAGAAGCTTTTTAGTTTGATATAGTCCCACTTATTCATTTTTGTTTTTGTTTCCTTTCCCCGGGGAAATATGTTCATGAAGAAGTTGCTCATGTTTCTGTCCAAGAGATTTTTGCCCATGTTTTTTTCTAAGAGTTTTATGGTTTCATGGCTTACATTCAGATCTTTGATCCATTTTGAATTTACTTTTGTGTATGGAGTTAGACAATGATCCAGTTTCATTCTCTTACATGTAGATGTCCAGTTTTGCCAACACCAGCTGTTGAAGAGCCTGTCATCTCCCCATTTGTATATCCATGGCTCCTTTATCGTATATTAGTTGACCACATATGCTTGGGTTTAGATCTGGGCTCTCTATTGTGTTCCACTTACTGATATATGGGTTGTTCTTGTGCCAGTACCAAATTGTCCTGATTACTGTGGCTTTGTAGTAAAGCTTGAAGTCAGGGAGCATAATTCTCCCTGGCTTATTCTTCCTTCTCAGGATTGCTTTGGCTATTTGGGGTCTTTTGTCATTCCATATGAATTTTAGAACTATTTGCTCTAATTCACTGAAGAAACTGTAGGTATTTTGATAGGGATTGCATTGAATCTGTAGACTGCTTTAGGCAGAATGGCCATTTTGACAATATTAATTCTTCCTAGCCAAGAGCATGGGATGAATTTCCATTTATTAGTGCCTCTCTAA